ATACTAAATTATGAATGCATGAGGTTATTTATTATTGCATTCTTGTAATAACAAAAGATTGGAAATAACTCAAATGTCCATTAATAAATGTGGTACAGACAATATAATCTTATATGGTTCTAAAAAAAAAAAAAAACCGGAAGATTTCAATGTCCTCCCAAGTAGCAAGGATTATAGGCATGAGCCGCCATGCCAGGATAATTTTTTTGTATTTTCAGTACATATGCGGTTTTGCCATGTTATCCAGGCTAGTCTCAGAACTCCTGGCCTCAAGCAATCCAACCGCCTCAGCCTCCCAAAATGCTAGGATATCAGGCGTTAGCCACTGTGCCCAGCCTGCTAAGGAAAGATTTTGTATCAACTAGGACTCTCCAGAGAAACAGAACTGGGAAAGAGGGAGGATAGGAAAGACTAACATATTATAAGGAATTGACTCACACAGTTACGGAGTCTCACCCGTCCTAAGAGCTGCAGGGTGAGCTGGCAAGCTGGAGACCCAGGAGAGCCAATGGTTTGGTTCCGGTCTGAGTCCAAAGGCCTGAGAATCAGAAAGGTCAATGGTGTAGGTTCAGCCCAAAGGCCAGAAGATTTGAGACCCAGGAAGAATTGATGTTTTAGTTTGAGCCCAAAGGCAAGAAAAATTATGTTCCAGTTCAAAGGCTACCAGGCAATAAAAATTCTCTTTTATTTGGGGAGGGCCAGCCTCTGTTTAGGTCTTCAACTGACTGGATGTGACCCACTCACATTAGGGAAAGAAATCTGTTTCGTTCATGTTGATTTTTTTCTTTTTTCCTTTGTTTTTTGAGATGGAAAAAAACTTGCCCAGGCTGGAGTGCAGTGCTGCAATCTCCACTCACTGCAACCTCCACCTCCTGGGTTCAATCAATTCTGCCTCAACCTCCTGAGTAGCTGGGATTACAGGCATGGGCCACCACACCCACTAATTTTTTTTTTTTTTGAGACAGTGTCTTGCTCTGTTGCCCAGGCTGGAGTGAGGTGGCACGATCTTGGTTAACTGAAACCTCCGCCTCCCGGGTTCTCCTGTCTTAGCCTCCGAGTAGATAGGATTACAGGCATGCTACCATGCTCAGCTAATTTTTGTATTTTTAGTAGAGATAGGGTTTCCCCATGTTGGCCAGGCTGGACTTGAACCCCTGACTTCAGGTGATCTGCCCACCTCGGCTTCCCAAAGAGCTAGGATTACAGGTGTGAGCCACCGCACCCTGTTGTTATTTATTTATTTTTGAGACAGAGTCTCACTGTCATCCAGGCTGGAGTGCAGTTGCATCTAGGCTCACTGCAACCTCTGCCTCCCAGTTCAAATGATCTCCTGCCTCAGCCTCCCAAGTACCTGGGACTACGGGCTCGTGCCACCACACCCAGCTAATTTTTGTATTTTTAGCAGAGACAGGGTTTTGCCATGTTGGCCAGGCTGGTGTCAAACTCCTGCCTCAAGCGATCCACCTGCCTCGGCCTCCCAAAGTGTTGGGAATACAGGCATGAGCCACCATGCCCAGCCTCATCTGCTGATTTAAATGTTAACCTTAGCCAGGCACAGTGATTCATGCCTGTGCTCCCAGCAATTTGGGAGGCCGAGGCGGGCAGATCACTTGAGCTCAGGTGTTCGAGACCTCCCTGACCAACATAACAAAACCCATCTCTACTAAACATATAAAAATTAGCTGAGCGGGCCGGGCGTGGTGGCTCAAGCCTGTAATCCCAGCACTTTGGGAGGCCGAGGCGGGTGGATCACGAGGTCAACAGATCGAGATCATCCTGGTCAACATGGTGAAACCCCATCTCTACTAAAAATACAAAAAAATTAGCTGGGCACGGCGGCGCGTGCCTGTAATCCCAGCTACTCAGGAGGCTGAGGCAGGAGAATTGCCTGAACCCAGGAGGCAGAGGAACGGTGAGCCGAGATCGCGACATTGCACTCCAGCCTGGGTAACAAGAGCGAAACTCCGTCTCAAAAAAAAAAAAAAAAAAAAGTTAGCTGAGCATGGTGGTGCACGCCTGTAGTCCCAGCCACTAAGGAGGCTGAGACAGGAGAATCGCTTGAACCCGGGAGGCAGAGATTGCAGTGAGGCTAGACGGTGCAACTGCACTCCAGCCAGAGCGACAGTGAGACTCCATCTCAAAAATAAGAGTAAGACAAATATGCTTGTTTGCTTATAGTCACACAAAGTCATTCTGGAAGGATACATAACAACTAAAGATAGAAGTTCCCTATCAGAGATGTCCTGGGAACAGGAAGACTTTTCACTTTTTATGTGTATGGCTTTTTAAAATCAGATATATGTTCTATCTATCCACAACATTAAGTAACAAAGTTTAAATCCCCTTGCATGACTTCCTCGCCTGCCTGTACGGTTGTGAACACTGGAGAAAATAAACCGTGTTTTATACTCACTTTTGTATTCCTGGAATTTAGTATACATTCAATAAATATTAGAGGAATAAATGACTGAATGAAAGAACCAGAAAATATCAGATTTAGTGTCAGAGAGAGGAGAGGAGCCAGGCACAATAGCTCACACCTGTAATCCCAGCACTTTGGGAGGCCAAGGCAGGAGGCTCACTTGAACCTAGGAGGTGGAGACCAGCCTGGGTAACAAAGTGAGACTCCATCACTACAAAAAATATATTAGCTGGACATGGTGACATGCACCTGTCATCCCACCTATTCAGGAGGCTGAGATGGGAAGACTGCTTGAACCTTGGAGGTCGAGGCTGCAGTGAGCCATGATTGTGCCACTCCACTCCAGCCTGGGCGACAGAGTAAGACCCTGTCTCTAAAAAAGAAGGGAGTTATGGCTGGGCACAGTGGCTCACGCCTGTAATCCCAGCCCTTTTGTAGGCTGAAGCAGGCGGATCACAAGGTAAGGAGTCAAGACAAGCCTGGCCAATATGGTGAAACCCCGTCTCTACTAAAAATACAAAAATTAGCTGGGTGTGGTGGCACACAGCTGTAGTCCCAACTACTCAGCAGGCTGAGGCAGGAGAATTGCTTGAACCTGGGAGGCAGAGGTTGCAGTGAGCCGAGATCATGCCATTGCACCTCAGCCTGGTCGACAGAGTGAGACTCTGTCTCAAAAAAATAATAAAATAATAAAAAGAAGGAAGTCACTAAGTCCAGCCTACATTCAAGGAAAGGGGTACACATGGGGTGATGACCAGGAGGCAGGGATCACTGAGAGCCATGTTAGGAGCTGTCTGCCACAAGGAGGAAAAAGGAATGAAAGGATGAAGTCAGGATGGTGGTTACCTCTGAGTGAAAGCAAGGGGGAGAGATGTAGGAAGCATATGGCAGGTGTACGTTATTTGTAATAATTTCATTCTTGGGGCAGGTGGGGGGTTTATAGGTGTTCATAAGTGAGTTGGTTATGGATAAATGGGGGAGAGTGTCATAAACCAAGGATTATATTTAGTCCAATTCAATAATATTTAAAATATTCAATAATAAATGAAATAAAAATTGCTAACTACTCCTGACCTTGCTCTGAGCTCCATCCATGCACTCCACCTGGTCGTAGGTTAACACTGGCTCCACCTGACTCTCCTCCACTTGCCCCAAACTAACCATTAGCCCTTCACACACACTGACCTTTACTCTAGCACCACAATTTCTCCATAATCTGCAATAGGCCCAGCTACTCAGGAGGCTGAGGCAGGAGAATTGCTTGAACCCAGGAGGCAGAAGTTGCAGTGAGCTGAGATCATGCTACTGCACTCCAGCCTGGACAACAGAGCAAGACTCTCTCAAAACAAAACAAAACAAGAGTGTTGCTATGAATGTTGCTGTAAAATGTCTCCCAGAACACAGAACACAAAAAAGCCTAGGTTTCCCTTGGGTATGTGTTGGGTATATGCCTAGGAATGGAATTGTTGGATCTCAGGATGTTTTGTTTTTGTTTTGAGGCAGAATCTTGCTCTTTTGCCCAGACTGGAGTGCAGCAGCACGATCTTGGCTCACTGTAACCTCTGCCTCCCCACTTCAAGCAATTCTCCTGCCTCAGCTTCTTGAGTGGCTGGGACTACAGGCGCCCACCACCACGCCTGGCTAATTTTTTTTTTTTTTTTTTGAGATGGAGTCTCATTCTGTCATCCAGGCTGAGTGCAGTGGCATGATCTCGGCTCACTGCAATCTCTGCCCCCTGGGTTCAAGCAATTCTTCTGCCTCAGACTCCCAAGCAGCTGGGGTTACAGATGCCTGCCATCATGCCTGGCTAATTTTTGTATTTTTAGTAGAGAAAGGGTTTCACCATCTTGACCAGGCTGGTCATGAACTCCTGACCTTGTGATCCACCCACCTCAGCCTCCCAAAGTGCTGGGATTACAGGTGTGAGCCACCATGCCCAGATAATTTTTTGTATTTTTAAGAGATGGGGTTCACTATGCTGGCCAGGCTGGTCTTGAACTCCTGACCTCAAGTGACCTACCCGTCTTGACCTCCTAAAGTGCTGGGGTTACAGGCCTGACCCATCCTGGCTGGATCTCAGGATTTACAAATGTTCCACATTACTGGTAGTCAGAATAAAGTTGGGGTCACATCATAGCTGTAGTGTGTTGGCCAGGGTTGGGAGTAAAGCTTGGCCTCAGTCCATTGAAGTTGGGATCAGTCCTTGGGCAGGGTGGGAATTCTACAGAGGGCTGGGTTAGGGGTCAGTCCATGGGCATGGTTGAGGGTGAGTGCATGACCACCTTTGGGAAGAATCTAAAGCCCAGGTTTGGACAAGGCTGGAGAACACTGTTAGGGTGGGTTTTGGGGTCAATCTAAGGCCAGGGTTAGACTGTGATTGTGCATAAAACCTGACCCCTGGTGATGTCATCAACGCAACAAGCCGGTGACCACACAGAACCCAGTCACTCACAAGATGAAACCCACTAGGGGTCCAGAAAGGTTTCACTTGAGGCAGGAGTGGGGAGATGGAGGACAAAGGAAGCAGGGACTCCTCCCCTCAGAGATCTGTGCAGAAAGCAAAGGCAGGCACAGGAAATAGAACAAAACAGTAACTTTAATGGGGCAGCCCTGAGCCGTATCCTTCAAACCTTCCCTTCAATAGCCTGTGCGCGAGGAGGGTGGGGCGATTGCTACAGGCAAGTCGATGTCCTCCCTACTCCTGGCGATCCCACTTCTCACCCCTTCCTCTCCAGCTGCTGCGGTCTCCGTCGCCAAGCTGGGTCCAGGTAAGCTCCCAGGAAGAGCAGGGGAGCCCCTCAGCGGCCCGCGGCAGATTCCCCCTTGGCAGAGGAGAACTATCCTGGATGGAGACACCGCAGTCCTCGGAGCTGAACAGGGACCTGATTCTGGGAGTGTGGACCGAGCCAGGGACTGCCTCCTAAGGCCCAGCGCCACAAGCTGCAAGGCCGGCCCGAGGTGTTGGACACTGCTTTGGGAGGAAGGCCAGGTCTCTGCACGTGGCTTTTGGGCTCTGGAAGGCAGTCCATTTTCCTGACCCGGATGGAGTGGGAGGAGGCGACTCAGCCCCGGGCCTTGGGCTCCTACGGCTCCCTGTTCCACATTCTCCCACGCTCACCCATCCCAAGGAAGGAGGGCACTCGGGCTCCAAGAGGCTCGTGCGAGCAGCGGGCTCCACCCTCCCAAACGTCCCTCCGTCGGTGGGTGGGTCGGGCGCGGCATCGGGGCTCTGGAGGGTACCGGGGCGTCCCCGCGCGGCCCGGGCCACAGCTCATCGCTGCTTACGCTCCGCCTGCTGGAGCCGCTGGGAGAGGTCTGCGATGCGCACGTTCTTGAGCTCGAGCAGGTGCTCCAGGCGCTTCACCTTCATCTGCAGGACCTAAACCGCGCCGCGCAGGGGTCAAGTCCGGCGGCCTGCTCCCTCCTGCTCAGCCTCTGCTGGCCGTGAGACCCCATCTGCAGCCTTCCCAGACCCCTCACCTGCACGGTCTCCTGCAAGGCCAATAGCTCCTGCTCCTTTTCAGCGATCTGGAGGACGAACCTTGGGTCGCCCTGCAACGCCTGGTTATACGCTGGAGGCCGACCCGCGGGCGGAGGGTCCCCTCTGGGGTGGGAAGCAGCTTAGCCAAGGCCTGGACTTCGGGCCCTATACTCACCTTCCAGTGCCCTCGACCAGACCTTCCCTTCTGCCCTCTAGCCCGGTTTCTGCCTCCCCACTGTCTCAGGCTCAGCCTGCCCCTGCCCTCCAACCCCAGCCTGTGTGCAGCTTGATGAAGTCGGGAACTCCAGCTTCTTTACCTGAGCTGACCCCCTCCCTGGGGGTCCAGGGCACCTTCACCTCGAGCTTTCTGTGATAAACCTGAGACGAGGCAAATGGAGGAGTGACTGTGCTGGAGTCTCATTCTCCTGCTTTCCCCTCCCCAGTTCCACTCTCACAAGCAACAGGAAGAAGGACAGAAGGAAAGCTCCACCAGGGAAGGAGAAATGGGAAAGGCCACCTTACCCACATCCATGTAGCCACTGCCATCCTGGGGAGCCATCTCCTGAAAGAACCCCACCGTGAGCCTGGCCTCAATCATCCCCAAGGAGACCTCTGTCCTTTCCACAGGCCCCCAGGCCAGGCTCTATTAGCCAAGCACCCCTCCCCCACACTTATCGCCCAGGCACCCAGGCACCCAGGTCCGGCTTTCTGATGTCTGGGGAGTGCCCCCCACTCAGCCCCCGGAGCAGTGGGAGAAGCTCGAGTGGGGTGGCACCTGTAAGGAGCCCACGCCCAGCTTCCTGTGCCTCTGCTGCTCCTCCAAGCGCTGCCTCAGCGGGATGAGCACCAGCTCCACCACTCCAGGGACGCACTGAGCGATCTTGCGCATCACGTCATCCGGTACTGAAAAGTTCAGCTTGTTCAGTACCTTCCTGAGGGGTAGACACAGGGATAGCGGATTGGGTCCTGGGGAAATGAAGTGAGGGGTGGGGGAGATGGAAGGGGGCATGGTGGTGGCAGTCCTGAGTTCACAGCCCTGGGGGAGTGGAAGGGCATGCATCTGAACTTCCTTGTGTGGGTGTCCCGAAGTTCCTTCCTTGCCTCCCCAAATAGAAATCTCTCTCTCTCTTTTTTTGTTTTGTTTTTTGTTTTGTGTTTTTTTGAGACAGAGTTTCACTCTTGTTGCCCAGGCTGGAGTAAATGGCAGAACCTCAGCTCACCACAACCTCCGCCACCCAGGTTCAAGCAATTCTTCTGCCTCAGCCTCCCAAGTAGCTGGGATTATAGGCATGTACCACCATGCCTAGCTTATTTTGCATCTTCAGTAGAGATGGGGTTTCTCCATGTTGGTTAGGCTGGTCTCAAACTCCTGACCTCAGGTGATCCACCTGCCTCAGCCTCCCAAAATGCTGGGATTACAGGTGTGAGCCAATGCGCCTGGCCAGAAGAGTCTCTTAATTGTGTAATCAGATGGATTCTGTCTGTGTTAACCTCCCCCACCCTGCCATCAATACAATCTCAGCTTGGGCAACCAAGACCATAGGAGATGATGGGGCTGGGGTAGTCCTTCCTGGGAACCTAGGGTGGGGGCTAGATATTCCCAAGCCTGCATCCAGGTATTCTGCTACCTGTTCAGATGACCCCAGTTGCTGAGCTTCTGCTGGATAGAGTTGGCAGGGACATAATTGTGCATCTCCACCATCTTGGGGAAGTAAAACTTGATGACCTCCGCAACTAGGACTGAGGGAGTGGGGAGCAGACATGGAAGGTGGGGGCATGGGCAAGGAAAGAGAAGGGGAGAGAAGGTGGGGGTGGGAGAATCGGGCATGGCAGAGTGGTGGAACCCAGTGTAGAGGTGGAGATGCAGAAAGGGGAAGGATGATAGGGAGGGAGACAAAGACATTGAGATTAGTGATAGGTAGAGGAGACTAAGTCTCCAGCATACCTCAGAGAAGCTGCATCCCTCCTCCATTAATTTAGAAATGGGAATACTGAGTCTCTGGTCCTCTAATTGAGAATGAATCAGCCAGGTGCGGTGGCTCATGCCTGTAATCCCTATACTTTGGGAGGCCGAGGCAGGTAAATTACCTGAGGAGTTTGAGACCAGCTTGAACAATATGGTGAAACCCTGTCTCTACTAAAAATAGAAAAATTAGCCAGGCATGGTGGTGCATGTAATACCAGCTACTCAGGTGGCTGAGGCAGGAGAATTGCTTTAACCCTTTAACCTGGGAGGCGGAGGTTGCAGTGAGCTGAGATTGCACCACTGCACTCCAGCCTGGGTGATAAGAGCGAGACTCTGTCTCAAAAAAAAAAAAGAGAGAGAGAGAGAGAGAGAATAAGTCTCCAAGAGAGGCTTTCAAGAGCCCAGGGAATTCACATGGATGCATGCTCGTGTGCATGCACACACACATACACACACACACACACACACACACACACACACACACACACCAACACCAAAGTTCCGGGAAAGTCAAAGACTCACACAAGCAGAGACATGTGATAAGATCCCCTACACATAGAGACGTAGGGAGAATGTGTAGACACATAGAAAAAACACATGCTAGACACACATAGGCACACATGTAGAACACACATAAACAGAAGCACAAAAAGCCACATATGCACATAGCCTCCCCAAATATACACACACAGAGATGCATAGAAGTACTTGACATGAGAAGAAGACAGAGGAGTATTTCGTCATTGAGACCCCAGGAGACATTCCTAGAAACACAAACACCTATACAATCACAAAGAAACATGCACACAAGACCCCTCAATACAGGACTAAACATGTCAACACACATATGAACATACACATGCTTGGACTCCCACAAGATGAACACAGAACACATAGCAATGAGTGAGGACATACAGAAATGCACAAATATATATATATATATGCAGACATATATCTTAGTCATTAACGTCCCTGCAGAGAGCTGCGGGCACAACCCCGCGCATGCACACAGGATAGGACATGTAGACATACATATGGACACACATTGTTCACACACAAATGCAAATAGAAAACACATAAGCACACACGTCTACAATTTGAAGTCTCAGGAGATAGATTCCTCCCCACTTCCACACGCACACAAACACAAAGAGTTTGCACAAAGACCCATTACACACAAACATACAGGACAGAAAATGCACACACACAGGGGCACACACCTCCATCACTAAAGTCCCTGGAGAGGTTTCGCTTGGGCCGGGACAGAGGGATGTTGTCTACCCACAGGTACAGCTGGTGCAGCGCCGCCTCATCCACGCTGCTCTCCATTGGCGTCCTCAAGGGCTGGCCGTCCAGCGGTGCCGCGTCCAGCCACAGCCTCACGACCCTTCAAGCGCTTTCTCTCTCGCCTCTGTAGGAACCCATAACTGCCTCTGCCTGCCTAATCCAGAGACTCACGTCCCAACTGGGAGCGGCCATATTGTTTTCTGAAACCATGGAAACCGTCCCCGACTCGCCTGGGAGCAAAGACTTATGGGATTTGTAGTTTTATCCTCTCCCCGCTACCTCCTTTCAGGCCCGAGCTTTGAAAAGGCGGTTGGCCTTCTCTTTCTCCCCAAGAAAGCATCACTTCTGTGCCCACGCCACCTGCTGACCAGCCACTGACCCGCTCTGGGACCAGCCAAAGCCCACTAGACCCCCAGAATTCCTGCATCGGCACCCCCTAGGGTGGGGATTCCCCTTCTGGGCTGTCTCTAGCTGTTAGTCCAAAATAAAGGGAGCTCCCCAATGTTTGTCAGCTTTATCTGGAGGTCCATTGTTGATAATATGCCACCCAAATGGATTGTGTGGTACAACTATTTCCTGCTTCGTCCCTCTCCAATGATCATGGGGCCACTGCCACTCACCCTTCTCAGCAGTGTCCTGGTGGAGTATTTAATAGGTAACCCAGACTCCCATGGAGAACACCAGAGTTCAAGGCCAATACTTTGGGCAGGTCATTTAACTTCTTAACTCTATTTCCTTCTTTGTGAAGTGACAATGGTTCTCACTTATTTGTCCCAACTGGGTAATGGGAAAGAACTTCACAAATGGGAAAAATGTTACTATTTAGAGAAAACCTGTTTGTATGGGAAATGGGGAAATGGAGTTGATTTTAGGTATAGAAGCAGCAAGAGCTTCTATAGACACTTCCACACCCCTCATCTCCCTCCAAAGAGCTATTCTTCCATGGATTAGAAATTCAGTCTGGGCGCGGTGGCTCACACCTGTAATCCCAGCACTTTGGGAGGCCATGGCGGGTGGATGCCCTGAGGTCAGGAGTTTGAGACCAGCCTGGCCAACATGGTGAAACCCCCTCTCTACTAAAAATACATAAAATTAGTTGGGCATACTGGCAGTCGCCTGTAATCCCAACTACTTAGGAGGCTGAGGCAAGAGAATTGCCTGAACCCAGGAGTCACAGAAGTTGCAGTGAGCTGAGATCACACCATTGCACTCAAGTCTTGGTGACAGAGCGGGACTCCATCTCAAAAAAAAAAATTCATTTCAGTACCCAGTTCCATTTCAAAACAGCACTACCCTTAGGAGGGTTAAGAATAGGAATATGGCTCCCTCCTTAGTGAAGAGGTACTTCTAGAGTCAGGATGGGAAGAAAGCTTGACTAACCATGTGGTCTTGGGCACCTGACCAGACCTCTCTGCCTGGTTTCCCATGGCTTTACCTACCTCAGGGGCTTGGTGGGCATCTAAAGCATTATAGCACAGAGCAGGGACCCTATTAGTATCAGCTAGTACTATCATTAATGAGACAGTCTCAGTTCCAGCAAGAGGTGTTCTTTTTGGCTGGAGACAATGGAAGTACTTCGTCTTGTTGGTACCTGCGCTGAGGGAGCTGGGTTAACTGGGAGCTCCTGAGGAAGCAGGCATCGCTCCCTCCTGCTCACTCCAGAGCAGGTCGGCCTTCCCTTTGGCTCTCTGGTCTCCAACTCCAGGGCTCAGATTTGGGGCGGGAAGATGATGGCAAGGGGAATCCCAACTACTTTTGTTGTCACTTCAAAGCTCTCAAGGCCTGGAGGGTATTCCTGAATGCCAGAAATGCAGGATGAGAATGGAAGTCACCCCCATTTCTTGTTTTAAAGTCGTATATAGTGGCCTTGATTTTCCATAAGGGGCCATATCCAGGGCCGGCGAGGGACAAAAGATGAACTGGATACTCCCTCGTTAACATTCCAGTGTTGGAGAGAAACTCAGTAGTGATGGTGAGCCAGGGTTGGGAAGGAAACACAGAAGTGATGTGCCAGCCTCAGGTGAGGTGGGAAAACCGGTTTGGGGCCCAGAGCTGCCAGCCCTCTTCAAGCCCAGGCCCTCCCCTGTGAGGGAGGGGTAGAGAGGGAGGGGCTGGCTCTGAAAGGAAAAAATGCGTATGACCAGCAAAGGGACTTGTCCTCACCCTTGTACTGGGGGGCGCCTGGAAAACACTGCACAGGGAGTTACCAACTCATCCTCTGCCTCTTGGGGGTGCAATCTGTTCCTAGCAACTTCACCTTCCTCCTGCCACTGTGCCCAGGGTGGCCACCAGGCTTGGAGATGCTGATCACTTAAAGGCCTAAAAGGGCTTCCCAAATAAGGCACCAAAGGGTGCCCCATATGCCCCTCCAACCGTCAGTCTAGACTCCAGAAGCTGCCCCAACACTCCTTTCCTTCTGTCCTGGCCCCAATCCTGCAAAGGCCTTCAAACTGGCCTTGGTAGGCCTAGTCCCCATGTGCATATTGATTTGCCTCCAGACTGCTGGCTGCCTCCCTCCTGCCAAAGCCAAGTGACCGCAAGCTTCTAACACCAAAGCAATCCAAGGTTAAGCAGCCTTGAACTCACCTAAGTAAGGCACACGGAAGTTACTTTCCTGCCCAAGCCTAGATCACATTTTAATATGAATGTGGAAAGCTACTCCTGCCCCTTCCTGGTCAGGGCCACCCTCTCAACACTTGCTTCTATGTCCCACCAGAGCAAGGACCAAAGGGAGCCAGGACGAATATGTCCCCCAAGACAGACGCAAGCCCAGACCATGAAGGATGCACCTTTGGCTGTTAAAATGTTCACCCCCACAAAAGGGGAGTGGACAGATTTATTGAAATCAAACTGGGAAAGGAGCAGCTGGATGGCTGGACTCTGGGCCCAGCCCCAGGCCCCTCTGCCCAGGATGGGGCCCTGCCAGAGAGGGAGGAGAGGAATGGGGCCTGCAGCTGCCCATGAGGGAAGCGCCCATTGTCACTCCCATGGGGGGGGGGGGCTCTTGGAAACATCCAATCTGGAGAGAAAACCAAGGGCCAAAAGTCACATGGACAGGGCCAGAAAAAGGGGCTGGGGAGGTGGAAAGCAGGCAGAGGCAGGCTTAGGGGCCTGCAGTGAGTTAAACTGTGCTTCTCGAGGTGGCCCAGGGGTGGGGGTGGGGGCTGCCAGCCTTGCAGGGGGCCTAGGCTGGACCTTCCTCTGGAGCCCTTCCCAGAATGGCTTTGGGGTCCCCCCCCCATCTAAGACCTGTCGTGGATGGCAGAGGGGAGAGGCACTCTCCGGCAGGGAACCTCCAGGGCCCCTTCCTGGCTGCTGCTGTGGTTAGTCCACTGAGGGCACGGTGTGGTAGCACCGGACAGCTCCCCACCCACCCCACCTGGTCCCGAGCCCAGGGCCAAATGGAGAGGAAAGAGGATTCTGAGAAAGAGGCAATAAGCAGGCAGTGAGGCTGACCTTAGCCCCGGGACCGGCCAAGACCAGGCCTGTCGCAGGGCCAGGGGAAGCATTACTAAAGGATCTGGGGCTCCGCACTCTAGCTCCATGCACAGTGGGTGCCCAGAGAGTCCTCTGCCCTGGGGTGCTGCTACAAATCTAGGTTGGGGGCACGGCTAGGTCCAGTGACTCAGCTTTGATGTCCAAGACCCCGAACTCCTGCCTGCCTGGCATGGTTCTTCCTGGTCACATGGACCAGATCATGTTCCAAGTGGAGGATGTGGCTCTGCACTCGCTCATCAATGGGGAAGGAGGTCAGGTACCTCTTGACCATGGCGAAGTAAGCCATGGCCTCCCCAAAACTGGGTACAGGCACCTCATCACCATCCTCATCATCATCATCATCATCGTCTTCGTCTTCATCATCCTCTTCCTCATCATCCTCTTCTTCCTCACTGTCCGACTCAGAGTCCTCCCCACCTTCCAGGAAATGCAAAGTAGGGCACTGGGCCTCCTCCTGGGCACCATAACCCCCGAAGCTGCCACCAGCCTCCACTACTCCCTGGGCCCAGTCCTCAGCTTCCAAGCCCTCGGAGGAGCTCTCTTCCTCTTCCTCCTCTTCTTCATCACTGTCCTCAACATCACCCTCCTCCTCCACCTCCTCTTCCTCCCCCAATTCTTCTCCTTCCCCCGCTTCCTCCTCCTCCTCCTCTCCTTCCTCCTCCTCTTCCTCTCCTTCACCCTCCTCTTCCTCTTCTTCTTCCTCCTCCTCTTCCTCTTCCTCCCCCTCACTCTTGAGGGAAGTGGTGATGGTGGCATTAGGGCCACCCCCAAAGCCAGCCTCTCGAAAGCAGGCGGCTATGTCCGAAGGCTCCACTGCCTGCCAAGCGGCAGCTACAAAGTGCAAGGCCTCCGTGAGACCCAGCTGCAGGCCTGAGCGATCCTGGCCCTCTAGGGCGGCCATGGCCTTGAGCAGCATGGCCTGGCGGTAGTGGCCCTTCACCTGCTGGACCACTCCCCTCTCCAGCGGATGCACGGTGCCCGGAGGGAAGAAGGCCAGCTGCACATGCCGCAGGCCCGAGGTGTCCAAGGACTGGGCAGCCAAGCGGCCGGCGAGCAGTAGGACCCGGCGAGACTCTGCAGCCATTCGGGTGTCCAGGGCCTTCAAGTACTTGGCCAGGGCCTGGGTGGTGACACCACCCTTGGAGTTGGCGGTGTAGTCGCAGGGCAGGCCTGCTTGGCCTGCGCGGGGCTTGGCCGACTTGCCCGCCACCAGCGGGGGCAGCTTTTCGCTGCCGTCGGCGTTGGCGCACAGCAGCACGCTCAGGCGCTGGGTGGCTTGACGCGGCCGTCCGTCTCCTCCGAACAGCCCCGAGGCCTGGTCGGGCAGGAAGTCGTACCACAGACTGGTCTCTGTGGCGCTGAACACGTCCTGCGAGGCATAGCCCTCGGCCACCGAAGGCGGCTGCTCCTCCCGAGCGCGCCAGCCAGTCGTGCTCCCGCCGCTGCCCTCCGAGGGCACCGCGGCCGGGCTGGCAGGCGCCGCCGGGGTGCGGGGGGCAGCGTTTCGCGAGCGGGCGCGGGCCACGCCGCTGCAGGACACCACGCCGTGGCGCCGGCGGAAGCGGTCCAGCCAGCCGTTGGAGGCGGTGAAGTCGTCCATGCCCAGCTCCTCGGCTATGCGCAGCGCCTTCTCCTTGAGGATGATGCCCTTGACCGGCAGGCCGGCAGCGCGGATCTGCTGGAACCAGGCGATGAGCAATCCCTCGAGCTTGTCGTAGGGGGACAGCTTGTTGGTCTTGCGGCAGGTGGAGGCCACCCCGTACTTGCGCTCCGACGCCAGGATGGCGCGCTTGTTCTTCAGGATCGTGCTCAACGTGGACGGCGGGATGTTGAAGCGCCGCGCGATCTCGCCCTTGCGCAGGTCCGGATTCTCCTCCACCTCCTGGATGATCCGCGACTTCTCCCGGAACGTCAGCTGTCGCCGCTTGGGGCCCATCCTGGCGCGCCCCCCGCCCCGGGGCCCGCCGCCGCCCCGGGGCGGGGGGCCCGGGCCCGTGGCGGGGGGCACCTGGCGGCCTCTCCCGCGCGCCCCGCCCGAAACAAAGCGGCTCGCGGGCGCGGCGGCGGGGCGACGACCCGGCCGGGCCGGGGGCACCTCCGGGGGCGCCGGTGGGCGCGGCGTCGGGCGGCGGGCGGCAGGCGGCGGGCGCAGGCGACGGCGGGCGGCGCGGGCGCTGAAGGCAGGAAGTGCCGCGGCGCTGGGAGCTGGGAGCGAGGCGAGCGGGGCGGAGCGGGCAGAGCGGGATCTCGCGGGAAGCGTGGGGACGCCCGGCGCCGCCTCCCCGCTCTCCGCGCCCACAAGCTTCCCGCCGCCCGGACCTGCCGTTGGGGGGCGCTGCGGTCTGCAGGACCGGCCAGTGCTGCGGCCTCCGGCGACCCGGCAGCGACGCGGGCGGGACGCGGTGCATCGCCACTGGGCCCGGCGGACAGCGACTTGCGGCTCTAAAAGAATAACCACCAGGGTTTTTTTGTTTTTGTTTTTGTTTTTTAATTAAGGTAAAAATAACCCACCTTTTTTTTTTTTTTTTTCGGAAACTGAAAAATTCAGGAAGTTAAAAAAACGCTTTTCACATCACCTGGAAAGATGCACAGGTAACATTTTGCTGCATTTCCTTCCAGTCTTTTCTCTAGGCGCATGTAGTTTTCTTTTTTAAAATGTATTATATAAAACTGGCATCAGACTGTGTAGACTGTATATCTGGCATCTCCTGCTGTTTTACCTGGCATCAAGTAGTGAGAATTTGGCCATATCGGTAAGTATCATTGCCAGCATGCTTTTTAATGATTGCGTAGCATTCCAGCTATGAATGAACACTAGCATATGTAACCTATTGTTACACACTTAGGTTATTTTTGTAAATCAACACTACAGTTGTAAATCTATTTGATGGTGCTAATGACATTTTTCAAAAAACTCTTTTATAGCTTTTATTTCAGTGATCAAAAGAATGCAGTAAATGGAATCTACACTGATTAACATTAGGCATGCACCTCTACCTGAAGCTGCTGTCAGATTCTGATTGGCGTAAATCTTTATAACTATTTAGGCACATCATTGAATTTTTTTGTACCCTGATATACTTGTAGGGCAAGTTAACTTCTTCCTTGTGGCAGTCTAATAACAAGAATTATGTTCACTGGTTAGATTCCTTTGTAACTAAAGGCTTCTAGACTCTCACACTGCCTACCCTACCTTGAGGCTATACTTAATATGGATATTTAAGTAAATCACCACAGAGGAAAGGGAGATCATCAAGAAAAGTGTACTCCATAAACACTCTTACAGATCTTTTTCTCCAGCATTGATAATCAAGCACAAGATAAGGACACCAAATTATTCTTCCCCACTACTGCCCTTTCTGATAGACAAGGATCTCCCCTGAAATCAGAAATGATTCCACACAAATGAGAAATTTTTACATATGTGGTCCCACTATCAAAATTTTAGGAAGCACTTAATGGGGCTTGGAGAAAAGCATAGTCCCATATACAGTAATATATGTCTAATAGAGTTTTCTATTCATTTGTCAATTATTTTCACAAGATTAGCATTAAAAATACAAGCAAACATAGGACCTTCGAGCTCTACAGACAAAAAAATTTGTCTGTTCATTCTCAGATGACAGGATGTCCCAAGAGTAACAAAAGTTGGGAGCCAATCTTCAATCAGCTGTTTTTTCAATCATTCCATCAACAGCTCTTCATTTCTTGAACTACTTTCCTTTTCCAAAGAGGTAAGTAATGCTGAGATCTGTCAGAAAGGCTTTCTGAGAAAACTGGCTTGGATTTCTGGGTCTGTTCCAGTCGATGCAAGATGAATTGGCTTGTATCAATGAAGCACTCAATGCAGTTCACAAAACAGGCCTCAGCCCGACTGTCCAACTTTGGCCCAGGCTTGTCCATGCACTTCTCCCAACAAAGTTCAGTCATCTGGTGCACCAACTGCTGGAAGCGCTGCTTTTGAGTCTCTGCCTTGATGAAATGCTGTAACTTCGGGTCCACTGCACCCAAACCCACCACAGAGGAAGAGGAGAAGGAATCCATCCCAGGGCGACCATGCTTGCAGAGACGAACTCTGTACCAACTAACCGACCTTCACCGCTAATGACATTTTTTTAAGTTCTAGTAGTCCCACAACCCATAGATAAACATTCATAAGGTCTTGGTTTGTCACTTTCTGGGCTCTGCCATGCGTGTGGCCATAAATGTATTGTTTGCACTTACAGAAATAACATCATGTATATGCATAAGTGTGAATCCCTGAAGCCTCCCTCTCCCGCACCAAAGCATAAAAATGCCAAGCTCTTAAAACAATGAATGTATATCAGTGTTTTAAAAAATCTCTGCTGAGTGCAGTGGCTCACGCCTATAATCCCAGTACTTTGGGAGGCTGAGGTGGGTGGATCACGAGGTCAGGTATTCAAGACCAGCCTGACCACCATGGTAAAACCCCATTTCTATTAAAAATACAAAAATTAGCCAGGTGTGGTGGCACAGACCTGTAATCCTAGCTACTCAGGAGGCTGAGGCAGGAGAATCCCTTGAACCTGTGAGGTGGAGGCTGCAGTGAGCCAGGATTGCACCACTGCACTCCACCCTAGAAGACTGAGCGAGATGCTGTCTAAAAAAAAAAAAAAAAAAAAATCTCTTAAGGCAGCACCAAAGGGAACTCCTGCAGTTAGCAGAGGGGAAGGCTGTGACCCAGGGGGACAGGCTGAGGACCTGGGGGTGGATGAAGCCGCAGATGAGTATAGACAAAGAAGACAAGAAGACCAAGGATGGTGCCCTGGGTACTCCAAGGTTAAGGGCTCAAGAAGGAGGCTGGGCACGGTGGCTCACACCTGTAATCCCAGCACTTTAGGAGGCCGAGGCAGGTGGACCACCTGAGGTCAGGAGTTCAAGCCTGGCCCACTGTGAAACTCCATCTCTACTAAAAATACAAAAAATTAGCCAGGAGTGGTAGCGCTCACCTGTAGTCCCAGCTATTCAAGAGGCTGAGGCAGGAGAATCGCTTGAGCCTAGGAGGCAGAGGTTGCAGTGAGCCAAGATCATGCCACTGCACTCCAGCCTGGGCCACAGAGTGAAACTCCATCTCAAAAAAGAAAAGAAAAAAATTAAAAAGGGAGGGAGGGAGAGAGGGATCAAGTAGAGACTCTCAAAGTGAAGGAGCCCCTGAAGTGAGGGAAAAACCAGGCTACTATGGCATTCTGGAAGCCAAAGGAAGGAAGTGTAACTTACTGCTGTTTTAGTGCAAATTTCTGTTTTCATGGTTCTTGGCCATTTGAACCCTGTGAATTTTCTAGTCATATCCTTTGACCATGTGTGTATCCTTTTCTTGACTTTTAGGAGCTCTTTACATGCTCTGAAGAAAAGATCCTTGTGAAGTATGTTGCAAATGGTTTCTCCTAGTCTGCCACTTTATCTAACAGCTTAGAGAATCTTTTGGATATGAGAAGTTTTTAATCTTCAATCTGTCCATTTTTTTCCTTACTGCTTTTGGATTTTGTGTCTTACATAGCGAGGCCTTTCCTATCCCTGAGATATAAAAGATATCCTTTTGGCCAGGCATGGCAGCTCATGCCTGTAATCCCAGCACTTTAGGAGGCTGAGGCGGGCAGATCCCCTGGGGTCAGGATTTCAAGACCAGCTTGACCAACATGATGAAACCCCATCTCTACTAAAAATACAAAATTAGCCAGGTGTGGTGGTGCATGCCTGTAATCCCAGCTACTCAGGAGGCTGAGGCAGGAGAATCACTTGAACCTGGGAGATGGAGGTTGCCATTGCACTCCAGCCTGGGCAACAAGAGCGAAACTCCATCTCAAAAAATTAATAAATAAATAAAAAGATATCCTTTTAATCTCAAGGTCCAGAAGAACATGTGGGAGACTTTTCCCCATAGAGGCCAGAGCACTGCTTGGTCCAAGAGGAGTGTGTGGTCACCAGGCAAAAATGAATCTAAAGATTACCTGGATGAGAACTCCTTGCTATGCCTCTTTTATATCCTTTTTCTCTCCTTCCTTCCTTTTTCTCTTTCTTTCTTATTTTCCTTCCTTCCTTTTCTTCCTTCCCTTCCTTCCATTCCATCCCTTCCTTCCCTTCCTTCCATTCTATCCCTTCCTTCCCTTCCTTCCTCCCTTTTCTTTCTTTTTCTTCCTTTCTTCTTTTCTTTATTTTGAAACAAAGTCTGTCACCCAAGCTGGAGTGCAGTGGTGCAATCATAGCTCATTGCAGCCTCATGTTCCTGGGCTCAAGTGATCCTCCCACCCACCCCAGCCTCCCTAGAAGCTAGGACTACAGCTACAAGCCACTATGCCTAGCTAATTTTTTTCTTTATTTTTATTTTTTTTTAAATTATTATTATTATTTTGAGACAAAGTCTGGCTCCGTCACCCAGGTTGGAATGCAATGGCATGATCTTGGCTTACTGCAACCTCCGCCTCCCAGGTTCAAGTGATTCTTCTGCCTCAGCCTCCTGAGTAGCTGGGACTACAGAGACACACCACCATGCCCAGCTAATTTTTGTATATTTAGTAGAGATGGGGTTTTACCATGTTGGCCAGGCTGGTCTCGAACTTCTGACCTCAAGTGATCCGCCTACTTGGACTCCCAAAGTGCTGGAATTACAGGCATGAGCCACCGCAACCGGCTGTTATTTATTTTTTGTAGACACAAGATTGTGCCATTGCCCAGGCTGAACATGAACTCCTGACCTCAAGCACTCCTCCCATCTTGGCCTCCCAAAGTGCTGGGATTACGGGTGTGAGCCCTGCACCCTGCTGTTGTCATGCTCAGTTGTCAGGAAACTGTCTGAATTTTGGAGCTTTCGTCCATGTGCACATGGGTCCCTCCTGCCTCCTCACGCATCTTGGTTTATAATCAGCAGGCATTTGAGTGAATGGACTGTGGATGGATTTTTTTTTTTCTTCTTTGCTAAATTTTCCAGGTTTTCTTTAATAAGTAAGTACTATATATAGGTCCTTTAAAATGAAAAGAAGAATGGCTAGGTACAGTGGCTCATACCTGTTGTCCAGCACATTGGGAGACTGAGACAGGAGAGTCACTTCAGCCTGAGAGTTCCAGATCAGCCTGGGCAACATAGCAAGACCCTGTCTCTACAAAATATTTAAACATTAGTCTGGGCACAGTAGCTCCTGCCTGTAATTCCAGCACTTTGGGAGGCTCAGGAGGGCAGATCACGAGGTCAGGAAATCAAGACCATTCTGGCCAACATGGTGAAACCCCATCCCTACTAAAATATAAACATTAGCCAGGCATGGTGGCGTGTGCCTGTAGTCTCAGCTACTCAGAGGGCTGAGGTAGGGGAATCGCTTGAACCCAGGAGCCAGATTGCCGTGAGCTGAGATCATACCATTGCACTCCAGCCTGTTGACAGAGTGAGACTCTGTCTCAAAAAAACAACAAGTTCTAAAAAGCCAGGCATGGTGGCTCATGCCTATACTGTAGTCCTAGCTACTGAGGAGACTGGGGCTGCAATGAGCTATGATCATGCAACTGCTGGGTGACAGAGCGAGACCCTGTCTCAAATAAACAAACAAAGGAGAACGCAAGCTTGCTGAAGGGCCTGAAGGACAGCTTTGGGCAGCTTGGACCAAAAGAAAAGAAGGTGAGTTATGGATTTCCCAAACAGTCCTAAGAGTGGAAAGCTGGGACTTACAGAAGGAGGTGGGGGATCCCAGGGCCTCAGATGGATTGCTGGGGAATATGGTCACTGGAGAGGGGATGGAAATGGGCCCCATGCACTGCTAACAGGCAAAAGGTAGAGCAGGTACCTGGAAATGGCTATGCTGTCAGCATATGATGTGTGTGGCTTCTTTTCTGTCCTGGAAGTGGTTGTGCCAACACCCTTGGTATGGCACCAAGGAGGGGCCTGAAAGTAGAATATACTGTGGGTATATTGACTGTGTATGTTGGGAGGGTGGGGGAGACAGATGCATTTAGCAGGAATCTAGACATTTAGAGATATCCCTAGAGTTCCTAGAGCAGCCCAGAGCCAGGAGTCCCAAGAAGAATACCTCATCTCTCTCCCTCAGTCCTCCATAGAATATGATTTTTTTTTAAAAAAAAGCCAGGTGCAGTGGCTCATGCCTGAAATCCTAGCACTTTGGGAGATCACAAGGTCAGGAGTTCAAGACCAGTCTGGCCAACATAGTGAAACCTCATCTCCACTAAAAATACAAAAAAATTAGCTGGGCGTAGTGGTGTGCACCTGTAATCCCAGCAACTCGGGAGGCTGAGGCAGGAGAATGGCGTGAACCTGGGAGGTGGAGGTTGCAGTAAGCTGAGATCGCACCATTGCATTCCAGCCTGGGTGACAGTGTGCGACTCCCTCTCAAAAAAAAAAAAAAGGGAGGGGGGCGGCTGGCGATCACACCTGTAATCCCAGCACTTTGGGAAGCCAAGGCAGGTGGATCATCTGAGGTCAGGAGTTCGAGACCAGACTGGCCAACATGGTGAAACCCCATCTCTACTAAAAATACAAAATTAGTCAGGCATGGTGGCACCTGCCTATAATCCCAGGTGCTCGGGAGGTTGAGGCAGGAGAATCACTTGAACCTGAGAGGCAGAGATTGCAGTGAGCCAAGATTATACCACTGCACTTCAACCTCAGGGACAGAGTGAGACTCTGTCTCAAAAATAAAAAGCTTTATTAAGATACATTTCACAAACCATACAATTTGCCCATTTAAAGTATACAATTCACAAATATGTACAACCATCACTACAGCTCATTTTGGAATATCTTTAATTTTTTTTTTGAGACCAAATCTCACACTGTTGCCCAGGCTGGAGTACAGTGGCGTGATCTCGGCTCACTTCAACCTCCGCCTCCTGGATTCAAGCGATTCTGATGTCTCAGCCTCCTGAGTAGCTGGGATTACAGGCGCATGCCACCAGGCCAGCTAATTTTTGTTTTTAGTAGAGACAGGGTTTTGCACGTTGCCCTGGTTGGTCTTGAACTCCTGGTCTCAAGTAATCTGCCCACTTGGACCTCCCAAAGTGTTGGGGATTACAGGTGTGAACCACTGTATCTGGCCAACATTTTTATCACCTTGGAAAGGAACCCCATACACTTTAGCTATCATCTCCTTATCCCCCCACCCTGCCCTCAGTGCCCACTAACCTACTTTCTGCCTATAGGTTTGTTTCCCTGTTCTGAACATATTGTATGGATGGAATCATATGTGTCTTTTACGGCTGGCTTGTTTTCCTTGGTGTCATGTGTTCAAGGTTTAGCTGTGATGCAGCATGATCAGTACTTGATGCTTTCTTATGGCCTGTTAGTATTCCATCGTATGGCTCTATGACATTTTGTTTGTCCATTCCTCAGTTGGTGGTCATTGGGGTTGTTCCCACCTTTTGGCTATTATGAATAATGCTGCTATACACATACATCTACTTGCATCTTTTTGTGTGGCTATATGTTTTCATTTTTCTTGGGTATATACCTAGGAGTGGAATTGCTGGATCATATGGTACCTCTATGTTTAATCATTTGAGAAACTGTCAGACTGAGAACATGCACTTAAAAAATTTTTTTAGGACTGGGTGCTTTGGCTCACACCTATATATAATCCCAGCATTTTGGGAGGCTGAGGTGGGTGGATCACCTGAAGTCAGGAGTTCAAGACCAGCCTGGCCAACATGGTGAAACCCCATCTCTGACAAAAATACAAAAATTAGTCAGGCATCATGGGGGGTGCCTATAACCCCAGCTACTTGGGAGGCTGAGGCAAGAGAATCACTGGAACCTGGGGGACAGAGGTTGCAGTGAGCTGAGATTATGCCATTGCACTCTAGCCTGGGCAACAGAGCAAGGCTCCATCTCCAAAAAAAAAAAAAAAAAAAATTAATAATTTTTTCTTCTTTTAACAGGTGTTGAAACATGCACTTTTAATCAATCAAAAAAGGCTGGGCCAGGCATGGTGGCTCACGCCTGTAATTCCAGCACTTTGGGAAGCCAAGGTAGGTGGATCACGAAGTCAGGAGTTCAAGACTAGCTGGCCAAGATGGTGAAACCCTGTCTCTACTAAAAATACAAAAATTAGCCGGGCATAGTGTCACTCACCTGTAATCCCAGCTATTCAGGAGGCTGACGAAGAGAATTGCTTAAACCCAGGAGGCAGAGGTTGCAGTGAGCCAAGATGGCACCACTGCACTCCAGCCTGGGCAACAGAGCAAGACTCTGTCTCAAAAATAAAAAAAATACAGCCAGGTGTGGTAGCTCACGCCTATAATCTCAGCACTTTGGGAGGTCAAGGTGGGTGGATCATGAAGTCAGATCAAGACCAGCCTGGCCAATATGGTGAAAGCCAGTCTCTACGAAAAAAAACACAAAAATTGGCCGGGTATGGTAGTGTGAGCCTGTAGTCCCAGCTATTCCGGATGCTGAAGCAGAAGAATCACTTGAACCTGAGAGGCGGAGGTTGCAATGAGCGGAGATCACCCCACTGCACTCCAGCCAGGGTGACAGAGTGAGACTCAGTCTCAAAAAGAAAAAAAAAAAGGCTGGACAGCTGGGTGTAGTGGCTCACACCTGTAATCCCAGCACTTTGAATGGCTGAGGCAGGTGGATCACTTGAGGTCAGGAGTTCTAGACCAGCCTGGCCAGCATGGCAAAACTCTATCTCTACTAAAAATACGAAAATTAGAGAGGTGTGATGGCGCATGCCTGTAGTCTCAGCTACTCAGGAGGCTGAGGCAGAAAAATCACTTGAACTTGGGAGGTGGAGGTTACAGAGTGAACTGAGATCATGCCACTGCACTCCAGCCTGGGTGACAGAGCAAGACTATCTCAAAAAAATAATAATAATGTGGCTGGGCACAGTGGCTCAGACCAGTAATCCCAGCACTTTGGAAGGCCAAGGTAGACTGATCACCTGAGATCAGGGGTTCGAGAGCAGTCTGAGGAACATGACAAAACCTCATCTCTACTAAAAATATCAAAATTAGCCAGGTATGGTGGCACATGCCTATAATCCCAGCTACTCAGGAGGCCGAGACAGGAGAATTACTTGAACCCAGGAGACGGAGGTTGCAGTGAGCCAAGATCACTCCACTGCACTCCAGCCTGGGTGACAGAGCAAGACTCCATCTCAAAATAATAATAATTTAAAAATTATATCTGTTCTTTGAAAAATATCTTAAAATACAGAAAGTTTGAAGATAACATTTAATCTACTTTGTTTCTACCACTCAAAGAATGTCCTTGTAGAATATTTTCCCATGCATATTGTGTTTAATGGAACTACACTTGACATAATAGCTACATCAATAAATAGCTACATAGCTACATCAATGGGTTTCACACTTTTTTTTTTTTTTTTGAGACAGGGTCTCGCTCTATCACACAACCTGTAGTGCAGTAGCTCAATCACTGCTCACTGCTTCACTACTGCCTCAACCTCCCAGGCTCAAGTGACTTTCCCACCTCAGTCTCCAGGGTAGCTGGGACTACAGGCTCCCACCAACACAGCTGGTTAATTGTTTGTTTGAGATGGAGTTTCACTCTTGTAACCCAGGCCGGAATACAACGGTGCAACAATCTCAGCTCACTACAGCCTCCACCTTGTGAGTTCAAGCAATTCTCCTGCCTCAGCCTCCCAAATAGCTAGGATTACAGGCACCCACCACTATGTCCAGGTACTTTTTGTATTTTTGGTAGAGGGGGTTTCACCATATTGGCCAGGCTGGTTTCAAACACCTGACCTCAGGTGATCCACCCACCTGGGCCTCCCAAAGTGCTGGGATTACAGACGCAGGTCACCACACCCGGCCTAATTTTTGTATTTTTTGTAGAGACAGAGTTTCACCATATTGTCCAGGCTGGTCTCAAACTCCTGAGCTGAGGCGATTCTCCTTCCTTGGCCTCTCAAAGTGCTGGGATTATAGGCCTGAGCCACTGCCCACACTTCTTTTACTCTAGGAACCCTTTGTTCAAAAGTCCATTTTCTAGGATCCCAATATGTAGTCATTCAATAATAAACAATTATTGAGCCCTACAAAGCAGGCATCCCCATGCCACTGCCCATTCTCCTTGAAGGTTGCAAGTATTGCACAGTACAGAGGAACCACCTTCCCTATTGAAGACAATAACTCAGTGAACATACATCTGTGTCTGCTTTTATCATCTCCTTAAGAGAAATTCTGAGAAGTGTGATATTAGAGTCAGAGGCCAACTTTGGACTTGAACCTATGCAAGGTTCTGGGAACCTGCGAGAGATGTAAATAATTATGCTCCTTGTCCTTCAGTAGCCCAGTCAGCTTGAGGAGATGAGATTCAAGAAAGGGAAAAAGGGATTTCAATAACTAATGCTAATGGGCATGATGGCTCATGCCTGTAATCCCAGCACTTTGGGAGACCGAGGTGGGCAGATCGATTAAGCCCAGGAGTTCAAGACCAGCCTGGGCAACAAGATGAAACCCAGTCTCTCCAAAAAATACAAAAATTTGCCAGGCATGGTGGCATGTGCCTATAGTCGCAGCTACTTTGGAGGCTGAGGTGGGAGGATCACTTGAGCCCAGGAGACAAAGGTTGCACTGAGCCGAGACTGTAACACTGCACTCCAGCCTGGGTGACAGAGAGAGACTTAGACTCAAAACAAAAACAGAAAACAAACTTAATGCTGTACCTCCCATCAGTTGCTCCCTAGGAGCAACTTGTAGGTAGCATACAGACCCATAAGACATACTTACTGCATCATTGTAAAAGCTAATATCCTAAATGTTCAGCATTAGGGGCTTAAGTAAATATATACCATTATGGTAGTAATACAGATCCATCTCCAAGTAAGATGAAGAAAGGTATAGAGCAGTGATTTTATGGCTTTTTTTTTTTTTTTTTAAGACAGAACTTACTTTGTCACCCAGGCTGGAGTGCAGTGGTACCATCTTGGCTCACTGCAACCTCTGCCTCCGGGTTCAAGCGATTCTCCTATCTCATACTCCTGAGTAGCTGGGATTACAGGTGCACGCCACCATGTCCTGCTAATTTTGTAATTTTGGTAGAGACAGCGTTTTGCCATGTTGGCCAGGCTGATCTCGAACTCCTGACCTCAGGTGATCTACCCACCTCAGCCTCCCAAAGAGCTGGGATTATGGTGTGAACCACCTCAATAGAACAATGTCCACATGTTGTTTGTATAGTCTTTAAAATGCAGACATATTTACACTTGTAAAGATACAGACCTGCAGCCACTAGCTACGAGTGGCCATTGAACTATTTATTTGTTATTTTTATGTTTAATCTTTTTTTCTTTTTTGAGACAGAGTTTCACAGCTGGCACTACAGGCATGCTCCACCATGCATGGCTCATTTTGTATTTTTAGTAGAGATGGGGGTTTCACCATGTCGGCTAGGCTAGTCTCGAACTCCTGACCTCAGGTAATCCGCCTGTCTGAGCCTCCCAAAGAGCTGGGATTACTGGCATCAGCCACCACCTCTGGCCTTATTTTTCTATTTAGAGTCAAGGTCTCACTGTTGCCCAGGCTTGAGTGCGGTGGTGCAATTATGGCTCACTGCAGACTCAAACTTCTGGGCTCAAGCTATCCTCCTATCTCAGCCTCCAGAGTCACTTGGATTACAGGTAGGAGCCACTACACCCAGCTACGTTTGTAAAAAATGTTTTATAGAGACAGGATTTCACCATGTTGCCCACACTTGTCTTGAATTACTAGCCCCTGGCAATTCTCCTGCATCAGACTCTAAAGTTGCTGGGATTACAGGTGTGAGCCACAGTACCCAGCACTGTTGAGCCCTTTAAATGTTGCAAATGCAAACTGCGATGGGCTGGGAGTGTAAAAGGCACATTAGAGTTTGAAGACTTGGTATCCAAGAAAGCATGTAAAATATCTCATTAATAATTTTATATCGATAACATGTTGAATAATATTTTGGATACATTACATTGAATAAAATATTACAGTAATTTCATTTTTCTTTTTTGTTTTATTTATTTATTTATTTAGACAGAGTCTCGCTTTGTTGCCAGGCTGGAGTACAGTGGCGGGATCTCGGCTCACTGCAACCTCCACCTCCTGGGTTCAAGCAATTCCCCTGCCTCAGCTTCCCAAGTAGCTGGGACTACAGGTACATGCCACCACGCCGCCGAGCTAATTTTTTGTATTTTAGTAGAGACAGGGTTTCACCATGTTGGCCAGGATGGTCTCAATCTCCTGACCTCGTGATCTGCCTGCCTCCGCCTCCCAAAGTGCTGAGATTACAGGTGTGAGCCATCTTTTTTGCTGTTTTAAATGTGGCTACTCAAATGTTTTAAATTATGTATGTGGGCCAGGCTCGGTGGCTCACGCCTGTAATCCCAACACTTTGTGAGGCTGAGGTGGGTGGATCACCTGAGGTCAGGAGTTCGAGACCAGCCTCGCCAACATGATGAAACCCCGTCTCTATTAAAAATACAAAAATTAGCCGGGCATAGTGGCAGCTGCCTGTAATCCCAGCTACTCAGGAGGCTGAGGCAGGCGAATCACTTGAACCTGGAAGATGGAGGTTACAGTGAGCCTCGATCCTGCAGCTGCACTCCAGCCTGGGCAACAGAGAGAGACTCTTTCTCAAAAAAAAAAAAAAAAAAGGCAACGACAACAAAACATAAAAATCCCAGAACCCCTCTGTGGTCTTGCCACCTCCCCCTGGCCCAGAGGTGACCTGACTGTGGGATTTCAAGGGATTCAACATACAATGCCTGCCCTGACACACACACCCTGTGCAGATGTATATTGGCTGGGTGGGGATGAGGGGCATACCTGATCTTGAAAATGCAAACTTCGGAGTGGTTTTATTTCTTGTTTTGGGGGTGGGTGGCCTCACAAGGGTACTTCCCCCTTCCATCCTAGCACTGAGGGTAGTCACGTCCTCACTGGGAGTGGTGGCTGGAGGTCCGGGGCATGACCCCTGACCTAGGGAGGATGAACCAGAAGTTGAGACCTGGAACACAGCACAGGAGCTGAGCAAAATGTGGAGAAAAGGAAAGGTCAGGGTTCCCACCTTGGCCACCCTTCTCAGGTGGGGCTAGGATCTTCCCTTCCCCTTCACATGAATTGGCCCACCCAGCCCCCCATCTTACAGGCCTTCCCTTTTGCCACCCCCATCCAATTTGCCTTGGGTCCGGGAGGCTGGGACTGCACGAGAAGGGGCGCTCCTGCCTTCCTGAGCTTCAGCCTTTCCATCCCCCCGCACCTCCGCCCACCCAGCCAGAGGCCACCTCTAACCCCGGGAGACGAAATGAAATGCGAAAGCTGCTTACTAGCCACTGGTTTTCGGGTGCAGCCTTCAGACCCCCCCGTTCCAGGAGGCCTGGAAAACGGGCGGGGCTGGAAGGCATTTAGATAATTGGAAGATGCTCGGCTTAAACGAATGATAAATTCAGCCTCTCTGGTCTGGTCATCAAATAAACACCAATTAAATAATATGGTGCCATTGGCACCAAGTTAGCCAAACCATCAAGGGACGTGATACTTAACTCGCTTCTCGGGCCGCTGACACCCTCCTCGACCCCCAGCCTCGGAAAGCCATGTCTAGTCCCACCGTTTAGTGGGACTACTGGGGCTG